TACAACTTAGTTATTCTGTTCACAGAATATTGATGTAAACATTTGTTGTTTTTGAAGAAATTTTGCAAAGGAATATATAACATTTTATCATGGTTCAACAAACACCTGTCTTTTGTTCATGACCCAGGTTATACACAGATCACCACCAGCCTATTTTGGGAAGGTAGCACTAGTTCCCCACAACAAGTGATTGTGTCATTGTCATGGCAACTGTCATAAAACAAGGAGGGGCTCTAAAGATTGTAAAGCCATTTTGTGGTGAAGAAGGAAAAAGAAAGTGTCTTATAAGAACTGATAGTGATAATGAAAATGTTTGTAATGTGTCCTATTTCAGAATGATGAAATTGTAACATTTATGGCTTATATGCTTGGAAGAGACAGGTCCCATAAGGCATTGTTTGTCATTCAGCAAAGGAAGGGAAGCTGTCATATTATTGACATATGGTTACTTTAGTCTCTTTTAAAAACGGTTATGCTTTAACAGCTGTTGGCTGTAGTCATTTGTCATAGTGTATGATTTTTTGAAAGCTGCCAGTGCAGGAAAACCAAAGTACATTTATTCTTGATGGATATTCTGTTGGCAGCACAACAGTTTTCAGTCCACTAGATATGACTAATTATAGTACATTTTCTTCAAAATATAAGGTGTAAAACCAAGAGAACTGATATCAAACCACTTTTTTTTTTACTAGTAAACAATTTCCGCATTTAGAGATTGATTGCTTTCTTTTCACCTCCGTCTTTTCACCTCCGTGTTTTCACTTCAGTTATAGGAATTATAGGGCTTTCAACTAGACTGAAGCTTTACTCATAATACAGACTTCAGTTTTCCCTTTCAATACTTAATCCTACAAACCAATACCCTGTATACTCTTCTGGTTTACCTCTAGGTTCACACAATGTAAGAAACAAGAAAAATGCTTCACCTTTTCCTTCACTGAATAAATATGCAGCATGGATATTTTTATCATCTTGTTTTGATATTGGGTCTGAACACTTTCCTAAATTCCTTTTAGATTCCTTATTTTTCTTAGCATCCTTTATAAAGGATGGGATGAAATATGAGTGCCCCTGGTTTTGCAAATTGTTATTGAATGGATGGATTTTTGTTGGTTATAGATTATACTAGGTATTCTAAGTTTTTTAACCTGTATAAATTATTTGATTACTGTCAAAACTAAACAAGTTTTTATGTTCTGTACAGGACATTTACCTATGTCCCTTTTTTACATTTACATTACCTACAGTAATTACATTTACATTACCTACAGAAAATATAATTTTGGTAACTATTAATGGGATCGGAGTGTATATAGTTTAAGATCAATAGAGAGAAATCCCTTTTTTCTATAGATTGATATACCACCCTTCCAAGTGTTTTTGTGGTGTCAAATTTATTTTTAAGCAAGGATAAAAGGCTTACAAAAATGTCTCCTGAAATCTGAGTACAGTATCAGTGTTTCTGAAACAAACTGACACCATCTGAATGGCATTATAAACCTGTACATACTGTAATTTTAAAATAATGCAGAAGAACACTGTAGGATCATGCAACAGTATCGCGCTCCCCTTAATGTAGCCACATTAGTGGCCATAAATACAATGTTGTTTTGTTCTCTGTTAGGTGAATCTCTGGAGGAGGCACATTTGTAACAACAGATCAATGTCACACTGTCTGCAGCTCTTATTGATGTTACAGAGAGGCAGAGACTGTCAAATCATGGTAATTGTCTGAAGGAACAATCATATTCGGTACAGCCACACATCCTGTTATTTGAAATTATAGGTATAATGTGTATTAATTAATTGAAATATCCTTAATATGCATCTAAATTATACCTCACAAACTGTGATCCATCTGTCATCTGGAGGGCGTATAACTGTCGTTGACTCTTCCTACTCTGTTATTTCTTATGATCTACAGGGCCAATATGTTGTTGCTGGAACAATACTGGAACCATGGAGATGTTTTTTAGACTAGTTGTTCTCCATATGGGGTAACCCAGAAAAATCTTGCTTTAAACGTCTGAGAACTACATCACTGCTGGGTGATTTTGTGCAAAAATCTAAAAAGAACATCCTATCCACAGTCTTCAGCTCTGTTAAGTCTGGATTGAAGTTGTTGACCCTTGAATCATAATGCTTACAGAACAAGCAGGGCAGTGCTATAATGATAGTTCTAAATAGTCTCTATATATAAATCCTTGTTTAGAAAAAATGTACTATTAAGGAAAATAAACTGATTTAGTAGTTAGCCATTTTTATGATTGGCTTTTCATCTGGAACAATGTGTGAGTTAGCCACTCTACCTTATTGTAGTCTAAATCTTAGCAGTTTCCTGTGTAAAACTGTTCATCTCATTACTTTAAGTAAACACATTTTATGAAAAATAAGTTTTCATCTCTTCAATACTGTGTATAATTCGTTCTTTACTGTTCAACATTTTGTTCTTTAGTGTTCATAAACATTGTCATTGCCAGCTGTCCAAGTTGTCTAACCATTAATTATGTTTATCCATCCACGTGACGGAGCCAGAGCCTATCCCAGCAAGCATTAGGAGCAAGGCAGGATACACCCTGGATGGGACATCAGTCCATTGTAAGGCACACACAGACAAGGACATGCGCACACTCACACATGGGGAAATTTCCCCCAAATCCAGTTAACCTAACAGTATGTCTTTGGACTGTGGGAGGAAACCCGAATACCTGGAAGAAACACAAGCAGAAATTGAACCCAGGGCTTCAGGACTGTGAGGCAATAGTGCTAACCACTGCACCACTGTGCTACCTGAAAAATGTTTATGCATTTTAATTGCATTCATATTTTTCAAAGATTTTATGATTTTACTATTAAAAAAAGATACTCTTTTAGCTTTTTTGCTAACTCAAAAATGTCTTTATGAAACGTTAATTATGATAAATCATTTCTTTCCAGTGACGGATGCATTTTTATATCTGCTAGTTGTTAAAATGTTTGTCCATGGTTGGAATCCTTCAGTACAAGGTGTAGTTACTGGAGTGTTTACTGAATTGGAGGAAACTACAGAGGCCCTTTTTGTTTTTTTAATTTTGTTTAATTCTGCTGGGGTATTCTACAGTAACTCAGTTTTATTTAGGTGTGACTAATCCTGAATGTGCAGTGATTCATTCAGGAACTTGGTGTTCAGAGTTTGGAAAATACAGTAGGCTGCTACTTTAATTTTAACTCTCCATTTCTTACTCGATCGTAACCTGCTTTTAACCTGGCTTGCACATATGAATTAACTTGCTTGCTTTAAGTATAGTATAGCATTAAATGCTATTCTACATTTTGGCCAGTGATTTTGTTTTATTTATATTTCCTTTAAAGACAGTTTTTATAGTATGACTGAGGCACTGAATGTGATAACGATTAGATACAGATCTAATCTCCAGACACTGTATGCCAATTGTTATCTTAATCTGTAGCCAAAATGGATTTTGCTTACATTCATTCAGAGGCTGGTTTCTCTCTCTTAAGATAAATAATAAAACATATTTAGGTGCACATTTAAAGCATAGCACATTTAACAAGGAACACATTTAGTTAAAATTTGATCTTTCTAACTAAAGAATGCAGATTTAAAAAGTTTACCTACTTAACATTTAATAGCTCTCTGCAGAGCAAGATGACCTGTTGTTGACATTGTTTTAAGCACAATTTCTCTTGAGATTTTTTTGTAATTGTATGCCTTCACAAAATAAGTCTACTCCAGTAATGACTGAGGCAGTCCTGCAAGACAGCAGGATATTAGTGGCCTAAAGAACAGAAGAATAATGCCACTTTGTTATAATTCAATATTATATTATTCCTTTAATATTACTGTATGTTATTCTTTCAAAAATAACATATGTTAATCATGCTTTATACACTATTCTTTTAGGTTACAATATAATCCTTTTATGTTATAACCATAATATTGTAAACCATAATTTTTAAATTCTTAAGTGTATGAATTATTTCAAAACCATTAGGATTTTACTCTTTAGAACATCATACCCTGTGGTTTTGAGCAAGAGATTGTTGGTTTCCTTTAAAGTGTGCACAGGACAGTGGAGCAGTGTCACTAGTGGAGTTGTTTAGCTTAGGACAGGAGCAGGACAATCTAAACGTGCATTTGAAAAAGAGTTGTTATGCTTCCTTTAGCCTGACCCATTGTTTTTTAGTCTTCATTTTTGTGAAAACTGAACCGTAAAAATACTGGATTTGGAAAATTCTCTCTTTAAGATTGAAAAAAGGTACCAGCAGCATCGAGGTACAAATCTGAATCGTTTTTAACACTGAGTGCTTTATCCTGCGAGGGAGATTAGAGTGAGTGTAGTTTGTATGGCAGTTTTTTTACATGTTCTACACACCAGATGACATTGCACAAGATGACAGCTTTCCCCTTTCTGAGTTGTGTACAGTACAAAGTCACAGTCAAGTTGATTGTTTTGCATTTCTTTGATCTTTTTCAGGTGCAAGGTATTGCAGTCAGATCAGAGTAGAAACTTCTCAAAACACAAAGAAATGCTTCTAATGCTATGCCAGAAAAATGTAAATATATATCCATGTGTGGTTTGTTTATTCAAAAAGATTGAAATGAATTGTAAAGCTGGATTTAGCTTGTACAGGCTATTCAGCCAATTGCAGTAAATGTACCTAGAATTAAGTGTTTTTATTTCTAAATGTCTTTACAAAATTGAAGTTGGCAGTCTTGTGGCATGTTTTCAGTCAAAAATAAAATGCACGATTTTCAGTATTTCAAATGGGTGGGCAGGTGATGGTAAATATAAGTGGTTTTAATGGTTTTTAGGCAGCTGTCTCAAAAGTGTTCCTTTTGGGCCTTTGGTGTAAGCATTCTATCTCCTGGTGACTTTTTGACCATGTGTTTTTTATCCTGTATTCCTCAAACAGGAGAAATTAACATCTTGATGAAACTTGCTATATGCATTGTGGTCGCCATGATTGAATTTCATTCTTTTTCTTCTTCCCTGTAGACCTCCCCCTAGGCCTTATCCTAATCCGTCAGAGAGCTTTGGTTGGCAAGCTCCCCGGTGACCATGAAGTGTACAAAATAACCAAGATTGCCGTGATCCCTCTCTCTGATGATGAGCCTCAGGACTTGGAATTGGAGGTACTGTAAAGGCTTTTATTTGCAGAGAGAAGGAGTGTGCAACCTTTGTCCAACCTCTGTGGCCATTATCTTCACTGAGGATTGTATGTTTGCTTAATTTTGCAGCAGGATCTTTAGAGTGACTCATTGCAAAACCTTATGCCAAGTTTTGTTACATTTCAGTGTTACTAAGCCTTTAATCAATCACATCTCTAACCTGCTTCCCTCCTACACTTCACTGTGCTCTGCTGTTTCCTGTTTTCATTTTTCTTTCACTCTATTCAGGTTTTACCTGGAATATCCTTGTACAGCCAGGTACAGTACTGAATAACTGTGTTGGTGTGCCCTAATCATACTGTTACTCATCTGGTTGCTTTTGGCAGCTGAAGGCTGAGTGGCAATTCATTTTTCAATGAATGCATATCAGTAAAATGGGGGAACAAGTCGCTTATACTAATGTACTAATTTCACAACTGAGCTGTCATTCTTCAGACAGTGATTTCTGGCTGTGATTAAACCATGAATGAAAATAGTGCAATATGTGATGATCAAATAAACCTTAAAAAAATGTAAACAAGACAACAGGACAAATTAGCACCACATGGCAGGAGAAGAGAAATGGAAATAAGCAGAATTACATGAGGTACTAAAAGATATTTGCCTTAATGTATTTACAATAAAGGGTTTGAATGGCTTGGAAATCAAGTCTATAACACGCTGCAATCTTCTTGTAAATTTCAGCGTGTGGCTGTGGAGGAACCACAGGACACAATGTTGGTAAATATAACTTGCATGGATGCCTTAATGATTCATATCAAGACAACTGTTATCTAAATGACTGCTCTTCAGTTTGGATGACTACATAAAAACCAGAATATCAAATATTTTCATTGTTTTTCATCTGTTTTTTAAAATGGTGTTGGAATTGTGTTAAAATTGGTGTTGAATACTGAATGAATCATGTGTGGGAAATCTGATTTATTTTTGTTGAACATGATGGAAATATTTCTGAACACCTGGTTGAAAAATGATTCCCATTGATGTTGATTGGAAACTAAGTATATTTTCAGCCATTTAATACAATGGGGGCATGCTGAGGTTCTATACATGAATTGTTGGCTTTTTGTTTAGATTAATTGCATTTTTTATCTGTGAAATTTCCATGCCATTTCCGTCTTTTTATACAGATAAATCTAGTACTATCATGTGATACAAAGGTATCCATAAATATAAAGCACTTAAAGGACAGATGTGAGGGAATTCAACTTTTATCTCGCCTTATTATTAACCATTAAGCTGTCTGGATATTAATATGTTGATAAATGTCAGATTATTCCTGATTTACAAATTACATGATATACTTCAGCACTGTCTCTGATCTTGGAATAACAAGGTTTTGCTTGTATTATATATAGATGAATAATATAGCATGGTTTAAAGTTTACTGAAGATAACATTTGCAAAAACAGGACTGTCTATTCATATAACAAAGTTATAAAAATGATAAATTTGAGTTGTGTAATTTGTATTTAAGTACCATATTAATACTGCTGTCTGCTGCTTGACATTATCTCGAAATTAAAAGCAACACCTTACGTACAGTAACTTAATAAAATGTATGTATGCAAACACCTTTTTGAACCTACAGTATATAAAGAGTGTATCATACCTGTGTTGAGGATCATAGTTAAACTATTCCATGACTTCTGAATGAGGTGTATAAAGTTTATATAATTGAGTGCTGCATTTCTTATCCCTGTGAAAAGTGCTACTGTATTTTTGAACAGGGCTTGCAACGTTAAAAATAATAAAAAATAACACCACCTAACAAAAAATGAAAACAATGTCAACTGTTCATTAAAACACTGACATCCTGACTCCCTCCAGCAGCTCTGCCTGGTGATTTCAGTAACTAGCATTCCACTCCACTCATTAGTCTGTGCAAGTGCAATTAAATGATATGCCAGCTTCACCCTCTCTTTTGCCGTCTGTCATATACAGACCACTGTACTCCTTCTGTTCAGATATTATATCCACTAATGAGACACTGCTTCCCTTGAGTTTTGTGAGCAGCCTGTCCAGCTGTCCTTCACAAAGGTGACTTTCCACATTGCAGGCTACAAAATCAATAAAACACTTGAGAAGATAGTTTGAAAACTTCAATACACAAAACTTTTCAAAACATAAGCCCATTATTTGAGAGACAGAAGAGATGAAAAACTAATAGTACAGTGGCTGAAAATGCACAGTTCATTGAATATCAACCGAATTTATAATTATTTTACTGTACATACAGTGGTACCAGATTGATGGTTCACTTAACCATCATGTGTTGGTTAAGTGAAGTGTACATTGATAATAACAATAAGTTGTTATTATTAGGTAGTCCAAGATTAACCATAATTAAGACTTGTGACGCCACTGAGGGATATCAGGATATTAACCTGGGTAAATAGTTTTTTGAGTCTTTGTTAAAGATGCGTGATATTCCTTTTGGAATGTTCCATGTATATGTGTATTATATTTCTAGTGTATGAAGTTGACAATTCTCTGGTGTCCCTTATGGCTGAAGGCAACTTTTCCAAGCAGCATTGCTAAAGTCAGTGGTTCTGAAATCTTGTCCTGGAAGACTAGTTTTTGAACCAAGTGATGAGTGTTCATTCAAAATTCAGATAATTTTAGTTGTCTTTTTAACTTCCAGCTCCTAATAAAACTATAGGGACCAGTTTCCCTCTACCTGGTAATTCTGTATTCAGGTGTTAACTGAAGTGTGACCAATTGAACATGAAATATAATAAAAATCAAGCAGTGTGAGAGTGTCTGAAACATTGTCATTCCCACATGTCTGCTCACAATGAAATTATTCCCTATTAAGAGCTGTTTACCCAGAACCATGGAAGCAAACTTTTAGTTCTGTATGCTGACATTATGGGGAATGACATGCTTGAAGTTGCATATTTTTTAAACCAAGGATTGAGTGCAGAAACAACTAAACAAGCAAGCACATCAATTAAAGGCCTCAGTCAGCAGAGCTGGGCTGTAATAAACACCAGCAAACAGTGGTCCCCAAGGACGTTTGTTGGAATCTACAGGCTCAAATAAAACACTTCTGTTCCCATAGCAACTCATTCTCACTGATTTTGACCAGTGCGGTAAGGGTGATTTCTGACCCAGAGAAGACTTATGGCCACTGAAGTAGTGCTTTGAATGTTTGCGGATTTACTGAGTCTGTCGCAAGTAGTACTAATACTAATTCCTTACACCTACAGTATGTAGCACTTTTTGGACACTCCACTCAAAGCTCTTTACAGGTAATGAGGACTCCCCTTCGTCACCACCAATGTGCAGCACCCACCTGGATGATATGAAGGCAGCCACACAGTACACTCACCACACATCAGTTATCAGTGGGGAGGAGAACAGGGTGATGAAACCAATTCATAGACGGGGGTTATTAGGAGGCCGTGATTGGTAAAGGCCAATGGAAAATCTGGCCAGGACTCCGGGGTAATACCCTTACTCTTTTTGAGAAATGCCCTGGGATTTTTAATAAAGAGAGTCAGGACCTCAGTTTTTCCGTCTCATCCAAAGGACAGTGCCTTTTTACAGTGTAGTGTCCCCGTCACTATAGTGTAAGAATTAGGACCCACATAGATTGTGGGGTGGGCGCCCCTTACTGGCCCCTCGATACTTCTTCCAGCAGCAACCTTAGCTTCCCCAGGAGGGGAGCAACCCGCAGAATCTGCTGACTCACCTTCACCAAGACAAAGTCTTGGCTTTGAGATGCAGGCACTCCTGAAAATGAAAGTGAGCAACGTGCCACGGGAAGTCCAACACTCCCACAGCCCACTGGGTGGAGCTGAAGTAGTGACGTCCTGAGGTTTCTTTTCCAGTACCTGCTACTTTACCCAGCCTATCTCCTGAGGCATCCACTGACACACCTTTACCAAGAGAAACTGGCACACTGGAGAGACAGTGCCAGGCCCTCATAAGTAATTGAGAGTAAAAGCCAGTGTCAAACTCTTGGATTCAGTACGTGCACAGGAAGAAGGAAAAATGCCTTATCTGTTGTGATTGTGAGAAAACATTGTACACAAAATGAATGTTTGAAGCTTATTACTGTCCAAAGTCAAACTCTTCAAGTGAGTTTGTGTGTCTGTTCAAATGAGATGGTATTTCTAAATTGTCCTGTTCTGTTTATATCTGTATAAATAAAAATGTTTATGTTTTAATTCCATCAAAAAGTTTACTTGATAAATGTTCATAGTACATCGTTTATTAAAATGTTACATCTTTTTAGATGTGACACTTATGAATCATTAATTTGAGTATCATTATGTAGCAGTCAATTTGACTGGCCTAGAGGTTATAGGTAGAAATATAGTCCTCGTTGACTATTCACATCCTCTAATGTTTTAAAATAAAACATTTCTATAAAAATATTTTTCTTTCTTGCCAATTAATTAAATGCATCTATTGATTGAAATCGATAACTGTGAAAAGAAAACTTTTTAAAGATTATACTTCAATTTTAATTACAATCGTACCATCATATTGCTATTTGCTGATTTCTGTGGATACAACTCGGTTTAGTTTACTTGTATAAAATACAAGGAACTTGATTAGAACAGGAGTTGTACTGTGGCTTGCGGGCTGTGTGTAGTCAATGTAAAATTGTCAAAAAATGGGAATGAACTTTCACATTATGAAGTAAATCTAGTTGCATTTGGATCAGGAAAGTGTCATAACTGGAAAGAAGAAAAATTCAAGACTGAAAACATGGAACATAAAGCAACAAATGTCTCACTCTGTGTATTAGAATTATAATTTTGCTCATCCTGTATACGGTCCTGTATACGGTCACCAGGGCGATTTTGTTTACTTAAAATTTCCTTAGGGCATTTGTAACCATAGGAAACCAGGGCAAAGTTTTTGTGAGGGCTGTCAGTATTGCAGACCAGCCTCTGCATCTGTATAAAAAAACGTGTTTACATTTCTACAGTATTACGAGTTATGCAAATACAAGACATCCTGAAACGTGGTTAGTGTGTGTGTCAATTGTGTTGTAATGCAGTGCACAATTAGTGGCGATGGGTTGGTACTTAAGCAAGCTGTTAAAGTTGGGGATATGGTACAGTACATGGCCATTAGCTTTTGGGATCCACAAAGTTAAACTCAGCAGAACAGAAATACTCCATGACAGAATTTTCAAATAATTCTGGTAATGTAGGAAATTATAATTTTGTTGCCAAATAGTATAATTTTGGGCTGTTACCTTTCTGAAATTTACCTCCTATGATACTTATATGTTTATTTTTAAGTAATCCTTTCTGCTCCATTATTTTATTCTTGCTGTGACAATGTCGTATAATAAAGAAATGTCAGTCCCCATGCACAGCATGCATGTAAAAACATGTTCTCTTATCTTTTTTCAGTTCTCTCTGGAGTGGTAAAGCACATCAGTTTCACCAGTGTTGTTCAGATATCTTTTCATGAATTGCTACAAAAACTAATATTAAAAGACCAATCAATGGTAATCAAAGTAAACAAATTAGATTTTGCAAGACTGAGCTTACACAGAAAGACACCAATGCATAAATATTACTGAGTGTCTGTTCTCATGTGTCATCAGGTGGATTACTTTTTATACAGTTAATTTGAAACAATCAAAAGACTGTGTAATGTTTTAAAACATGTTTTTTTCTTACAAAATCAAGCATAAAAGAAACTTTTCAGTTACAATATGATGTTTTAAGGAACAACATTTTACTGAATTGTAAGGTAATTCAAGATGAACAAGGTGTCCAAACGTGTCCACTGTTAGAAAAAAAGATGAATGAGCTGAAGTTAATGACCAGCGATCACAGAATACGTCTGTGACGTATGTATCTTTTTAGTTTAGCAAAAAAATTATATCAACAGTTTACTTACAGAACTGTTGTATGTAGCTAATTGTCAGACTGAAATCACGAGTTAGGCTTTGAGAGTTTCTAATAAAGCAGTCCTGCTTTACCTCAAGCAACTGCAATCGTCAGGAGAACTCTGACCAGCTCTGTTTTACACATAGAGGTGACACACTGCAACTTTCAACCAAACAAACATATTTTATATATTTTATAGTACATTATGGCCTTTGCTTGAGTGCCTGTTTCCTCATGTCATTTGTTAAAGTTTTAAACTTTTTGGTTTACTGTACATTTTATTGCAAGTAAAATTGTAGATTTTGTAAGCCTGTGGAACAACAACACACTTCTGAGTAATAGCAAACCCTTGCACTCACATGCCCATGTAAAAAAGTTAAATTCTTACCTTTGCATGTTCATATTAATTATTCAAAATGTGTGATTACTTGAACAGAAATAATGTTCAGTTCCATGAACCTTCTCATTGGCATTGGTAAATGCTATACCTTTGCTGAATACTATACCGGTGTGTTTTTTTTATCATTGTTTTTGAATTTCCCAAATAAATCTTAATACATTGATTGTAATACTGATCTTGCAAGTGAGATACCTGCAGTGTTATGACTAATAATTCTTGTATTTCTTTCATGTTCAGCTATGTAAGAAGCATCATTTTGGGATCAACAAACCGGAGAAGATAACTCAGTCACCAGATGAGTCGAAATTCCTGTTGAAGACCTTCAGTCAGATAAAGTCCAATGTTGGCGTGCCCATGAAGAAAAAGGTAAGTAACAGTGTTCTTTACAACTGTAGTACTTGTGTTACGTCCCAGTGTGTGTTCTGTTTTTTTCTGTGTTCCACACTGATGACCCTTGATTGTTCTACCTTCCCCATTGGCCAACCATCACACCACTGTTTCAATATGACATCATCATCAATTAACTCTCAGCCAATCAGAACACATTTTATTCACTATATAACATGGAGGCTTTCAGGAAGAAGAGGCCTTTCGTTTGACTTCGGTCCTGTTTGGTTTTGGTTATTGCTTCGCTTCGCTTCACATCTGGTTATTGCTTCTGCTTCGTTTGTTGGTTTGTTTTGCTTTGTGTGTGTGTATTTTCATATAGCTTCGGCTTTGTTGTTTTGTTGGTTTTACGCTAGTTTCTTTGTACCTTCGTTTGTTTGTGTGTTCATCCTTGTTTAGTCATTACCTTGCCCCAGTGTTACATGTTCAACTTTTGTGTTCTTTTGTACCCTGCTCCTGTTGATTACTCTTGTTTTCCCTTATTTGTATTCCTGGTTCACTTGTTTTTGTGTGAACTTTTGTATATAAGGTTAGTTTAGGTTGTTGGGTACACTTTACACACTTAGTTGATTTTGTATAAGTACACTAGGTTAGTACAGGTGAGTGCCATTTGTCTTGTATGGTTTTGGGTAGTCAGTGCAGATTAGCTAGGGTGTGGAAAACGCCGAAGACCGTGTGTTTCGGGTTTTCTTTTGTAGTCAGATTAGCTTTCCCTCACTGTCCTAGCCAGCTCCATTTTTGTTTGTTATTTTCTTTCCTTTGGCACCACTCTAGTTCCTTACCCTTATCATGCTTCCTAGTCCCTCACCAGAATCCCCCTGCTTCCAAAAGAATTATCCTAAATGTTACACCCCTTTTTCCCTAGACACTTGGGGTCGTAACAACTTGTTTAATGAATAAAAATGGGCTTTAGAGCTTTCGTGTATGAACGGCATAAAATATTTTGTCAAATTCTAATTAAGTAGTAGTTGTTTAATAATCTATTGGATTGTCATGGTATTAAAATAAAAGGCTCCTTCATTCAGTGAAATACGGATGCCCAGATGATTAGATAAGAAGCATTGGTGACTATGCCAGGGGTATGTGCAGTGTTACTTAGTTCAGTTTTCTTCATGTATCATGTATGATTGTATGAGCCAGATTCATAAAGCACACTTGAATGTGGCTGATCCTTTTATGATTTCATCACTCCTATATTAATTCTGGGTAATTACTGCATTTGCTGTCTTTGTAAACCTGCACTTAATGTAATCTTGTTGTATTTTATTACTGCTGCACATCTTAACAGGCTTTGCATGCAGGGAAAGTTTTGGATTGGTGACTGGTTTCTTCACAGGGGGGAGGAGAACAGGGAGGGGAGGTGGAAGACTAAGCCGAAGGTACAAGTGGGTCGGCACTGGAAAAGCTGAGAGAGTAACAGTGCATATAGGGATTTGAGATCAGAGAGGAAACATTCGGGACATGTCTCATACATTACTAAGCTGATGCTGTTTTTCCAAATGTATTGTCAGTACTCATGTCCTATTACTTAACAGAAACTTAGCAGGAGCTCTGTTTTACAAAATCATTGATCCAGGAAGCAGTACATCTGTTTGGTCCCTTGCAACAAGCTCACTCAATGATTTTGTACAGGTTATTTGTCTTGGGATATTTACCCATGTGTGTTTAATTTGAACATCATGAAAGGAAAAGGTTCCAAGTGTAGGTCTACACACTTGTGATTGCAAGGAATAAAGATTATGGAACAGAATATTGTTCTGTTTGAAAAAGAAGTATGATTGTTAAACTGAGTGGTTTCGAATTGCAATAGCTATAGAAAAACTGCAAAGACCTTGTAAACCCAGGCTGTATATATAGTAAAGTAGGTGATAAAATATCTTCCTTCATTCTCCTTAGAGCCTATGGCTGGTGAAGCTGGCTACACAATCTGTGTCCTAGTATCTCGGGGTGTGCTGGTTGCCTGAAATAACCTCACAAACAAATGCTCTATTTGTCAGTACTTGTTCAGCAGAAATATAGTTTTTAGTTGTTCAGTCTGAACAAGAGCCTGTTGATGAATAGGCTTATTTGTTGCCTAGGTACTAAAAGGCCATCTTATTTCCAGTATGTAGTACTATGATGGAAATAATAATTTTGATTCTTTACTCTTTTGTGTTCATGCCTGGCAATCACATCCATTACAAATTCACATATTTATCAGTCTTATAGTTATAACTAGACTCCTTATGGGTTGGATTAGGATTTGGGAAGTATAGTACATGGATAAGTAAGCATAAGATACATCCACATGAGTGCAAAATAATTTTTTAAAAATGATTCTGAATAACTTTATCCCAACAAACTGCTCTGTCTGTAAGGTGTACCCATTTAACAGTGGTTATTCTATGTTAACAAGGGAAGAGGCTGCAATATTTGTAAAAACTACTGCCCATTTTTGAGTGTCTGTTATACATAGCTCTGCATCTGTGATACAAAGTGCTTTATTATAGCACTGAGTTTAGCAGTCTCTTGCACATAATATAGTAACAGCAGATATTGTTAAAAGATAGTAACATTGCTTCACTGTAGAACTGTAATTCCAAACCATGGTACTGGTGGATCTGTGTGTGCTATTTTTATTCAAACTGAACCGTTGATCAGTTGATCACTGGTGCTAGCAAATTTCTTTAATTATTTACCAGCTTGTTATGCATTTTTGTTTAAGATCCTGTCTCTCCATTAATTCTTTGGTTTCAAAGGCACTCTGCTTCAAGTGTATTTTTCCAGAATAAAGAATGTAACTTCTCCTCAACTTGTTAATTAAGGGTGTGTTCTTCTTTTGTCTAAACAGCTCTTAATAAAGGATCAGTTTATGATGAGCAGACACTAGGAAGAATTACCGTATTTAACACTCCTGCAGTGAGCTTTTTTCTCTCAACAGAGGTCCAGTTGGTTACAGCTTGTTTTAGCACATAATTTTGTAATTTCACCTACATTTAAAGACTTTTAATGGAAATCACTTGTATCACTTGTTGTTAGAGCACATCTGCCTCAGGTTCGTCATTGTATATTTGTAGAGACAAGTAAAGTATTGTTACTTATTTTTGGCAAATATCACAAAAGATCCCCAAATGATCAAATCTCTCAACCAAGGGGTTGACAGATTTTTTTTTTTAAAACATGCTGTTTCTTAGAAAGGTACTGTATTGTTTTTTTCACGAGTACAAATCTTGTGTTATAGTTTAGTCTTGTCCGTAAAAGTGTAATGGAGACGGTGATACACTGGGACAACTGATTAAACTGGTAAAACCTGATAAATTAAAAAAATAAAAACAAATGCCGTTTCTCTTGTTTTCTGCTGGTGGCAGTAATGGCATCTTTTCACATTGGGAAAGTGGGAAAGACATATCTGAATTTAGGTGCATTATATTCATAGATTTTCAAGGCAAGCCACAAAATAAAGACATAATCATTTTCTTCTGGTCTGCAGTATTAAACTGAGGTGTAGGGTACTAAAATGTTATGGTCAGATGAGCATACTTGTTTTTACTAGATGAAGAAAATTAAACTGAACTGGGTTTACTGTGAACCACAATTAAAATTACTCACACAGAAAATTGCGTGGGCTGAACTCCATCCTGTTGGGTTTATTAGCAATATGTGCTGATTAGGTACAGAGAGGAAGAGCAGGCATGAAGATGACACAGGATTTATAACTGTTTTTTAAGGTCGTGCACTGTATATGCAGAGACTTGGCTCAAAATCCGTTGGATCAATTAGACTTCAAGTGTGGTTCACTCAATTAAATCTATTAACACAGCTAAATCTCATCCCGGGTTACCTGCACCAAGGCTTCATTATTTTTAATTAATCTTCATCTTTCCTATACATTGAAACGATTATATTACTTTCATTTCTTTCACAATATTCTTTCCTTTTTTCTTAATGTTTCAATAATGGCACCACATTAGTGATCTTTTAAGCGCTGCAGTCTATAAACCCTTATATTCACATATGGTGGCCATTACTAGCAAATCAAGTTGAATTGTGTTTATTGTATTAATCAGGGTACAGTTACTTTAATAAAGGTGAGAATTTGTATATGGGGTGGGGGGAGGAGGGCAGATGGATTCAATACCATTGCAGTGAAAGTTAATTATTGTGCTTATGTCAACTTCATAATATATGTAACATTTTTATTCCTTTTATTATTATCATTGAAGTTTCTATTATTAAACAAAATTCAAATGCAAAAAAAGCTTTAACTACATCAGTGACAGGTTCCATCCATTCATTGTCAGAAAATGGCTCTTTCCTAATAAGAATATTTGCAGCCCTTTAACTGGGAAGCATAGGGCACAGTTGCAGAGCACAATGTACAGGCACCTGTGAACCGAGCAAGCATGTCTTTGCAAGGTAGGAGATAACTCATGCAAACCTGGTGAGAACGTGCAAGCTCCACACACAAGATGCCCCCAGGCCAGAATCAAACCCAGAGCCCAAGACTTGTGTGGCAGCTGAACTGACCAGTTCAGCAGTCTCCCTCATGACATTTTGAATAATAGAAATGCAAGCCACTCTTATGAATTAATGAAATAATGATTATATTATCCAAGTCTTTGTCTCCTTTGGGTTTTATTACGCAGTGATGTTTTATAAAGTCTTTACAGATTAGTGCCCTGGAGAGGTAACACTGCTGCATGCTGGGGTCCTGCAATTCTCTACCTTCAGCACGATTTCTATATGTCAGTGGCAACCAGGAATGAAAAGTATTGTTTCTCTATTAAAATAACTTTTGGCTTTATACCCAGCCACTGTAGTGTTAAAGGTGTGCAGTGCATTACAGGTTAATTAAGAAAACAAGTGTTATTGTGGTTTACATTTATCATTTTCTGTTCTCCAATAACTACCCAAAGCAACAGTACTATCATAGATCATAATAGATTTTATATGTGATAGAGTTAAGAGCTGCTCACAGAGGCATCCTACAGCATTTTCACATCCATGTCACTCTTCGATTATGGTCAGGCCAGTAGACTCGCATAAACATTCCCCATTCTGGACCACTTTTTCCTCATTTTAAGCACTGACATCCCACAGAAAACAGTTTAATGGGTATTCAGGTCTCTTACAATATAGTATCTGATATGTTAGGCCTACCCATCTCAAACCTTTTTTCAGTTCTCTTTTTGGAGCTACACACCTCGTGCCTGTTCTGTCCTCAGAGGGGATTTGAAACCAACTTTACAACTGCTTTTTGATACCTAGAAAATATAAAATATTTTTTTTATTGTGGAAGAAAAATGAGATGAAAGAATGTCTGTCTTGTGATTGTTACGTTTCTGTAAATGTGATTTGAAATGTGTTACTTTGCTTATTTCAAAACGTTCTATTACCAGAACAGCAGTGGTGGATCTTTACATTTACTTGTTGAATATGTAAATATTCAAATATAAAATGCCAAACCTCTTTGTAAATTAGTTTGTCAGTTTTAAATCCTCTTAAAACGTAAGTTCTTTCCACATACTGCTGTGTTTGTTGTGCCAACATTTGGGTTATTTAGAAAGTGTGTATAATTAACTGCTAGAAGAGCTTTTACTCACAGACTTGGTGTAATTAGATTAAACTGAAACCACAAAAGTTATTGGTTCCTTTATATATATCCTCCTTTGATGTCAGCTTTGCTTTGAAGATGACAAATATTGTAATTTTGCTGAGATGAGGAAATCGGAAGTGAACCAGTTACCTCTTGACCTTACTGTGATCATGCTGCCAGATAAACTTTATCTTCATTGATTGCACAGATGTATCATCCCAGATCGATCTGAATCACTGAATCTCAGAATTGCTGTCTTTTCTATTTGTCTCCTTATTTTAAAAAATTGTCTTATTACCCTATAGTTTCTTAAATACTGACATTGCTGATAAGTTTGAAAAGAACAAATGTTACTCTGTGATAGCCTGCCTTTTGAGAAAAGACTAAAAATTCAGGACTCAGTTGGCTATAATGTAGGATGAATCTCCAGCGGTTGATGCAATAGTAGTAAAAGGTTATTGAGGAGCATTCATTTGAAACATTCAATTTGCACTTTGAGTGCAGCTAAAATAACAGCTGAGTTTTTTGGGGGAAATGCTTTCATTCTTGGTTCAAATGTATAGGGCACCAAATTAACACTTAGCGACACTTTGAATTACAGGCATTTCCTTATATTGAATGTTTTTTATATTATATATCCAAATATTAGTACTATGATAACATAATGATTAAACTGGATTTAAGTGGAGTTTAAATTGTTCTTTTTGGTCTTAATGAAACTGTCTGCATAATTTACCTGGCCATAGGTTAATGGAGCCAAAAACATTTCCAAATTGGACGATGCTGTAAAATCTGGAACAGGCTTATTCAATTACAGTGTCAAAGGACACACATTAAATATCTGTTTTTTTATGCTTACATGTTACTCTATATTTAGTAATGTTTAAATCACTTTAATTCAAAGTTTATAGGATAATTTCATTTTTGACGAGGGAGGCTACTTTAAGAAGTTTTTTTTATATATTTGAAAATAGGTTTTTAGTCTTTGTTCTTTACCTGCTTAATCATAAAGTCCTTTCTTATTATAAAAAATAAATCTATCCATTTTAAACAGCCAGCTACCAGTGTTGTAATCCCGGTTGTTGCTATTACTATTATCATTTAAAAGGCTAATGATAATGTTTCTTAAAAAATATCAATTTAATTCCTTTATTTCAACAAAGGAGGCATAAATTCAAAGGCATAATTCTACATTCCCCTTGAAAATGTCAAAATACATCTGATAAAATTAGTATTTTTAAAATACATTTAAAATTGATTACAATGCTGCCTCATTATGCATCATGTAAAATACCGTTTAGCCACTTGATATTAGGCACTTGTTCTAATGGACCAAAGGTCAGTAGGTGAAAATATGCATCTGTGTTTTCTATTGGTTTTAATTGTAAAGGGATGTGTTGTTTAAAACAGAAGTGGAGAGATGATTTCCCAGGGTATAGAAAACAAATGATTATTTCCTGTGTTTCAGATAAAAGAAAACAAAGAAAAAGAGCGTCTGGAGCGACGATTACTGGATGAGTTGTTCAAAATATTCATGGACTCTGACTCCTTTTACTACAGTCTGACCTATGACCTCACTAACACTGTCCAGAGGCAGGGCGACTGTGACAACTCCAGCTTGCCACTTTGGCAGCGGGTACGTAGAAGGGATTTTCAAGAAACCAATTAGCTTTCTAATGAACTTGCTTGTCATGCTTGTCATTGCTTTTTGTATAGTTACCTGAAAGAATGCACAGTGTTGACTTCCTTTCTTATTATTCCTTGGTTTGCCTTCAGGATGTAATTTGCATCAATACAGGGTTATTTTGTTTCATCTCCTTTGTTTTGAATATAGATTTGCCATTTATTTTTATTGTATTCCCACCAAATTTGGGACCATTGATTGACCATTGACTCTTGCACCTACTCATATCGGAGGAGAATGTCTGCATGTCTCCTTCTCTCCTGGCAGAAGAGTTTGCACAAATTGGAGGACACCACTCAAGCCAAGTTGCTCTTGTGTCAAGAGCCTGCTTTTTATCCCTACCACTGTGATTCAGTAATGTACATGTGTTTTGTTATGTTAACAGTGTATGTAAGGTATCGTTCACATTTTTATCTGTTTTAAAAGGTGGATGACAGGTTCTTCTGGAACAAGCATATGATTCAGGACCTCATAGATTTAAAGGTAAGTTCTGGTAGGATGTCCTTTAATATTGTGTTTCCTCCAGGATTGAGGATTCCTCCAGCTTGAATATGTTGCTGTGGATCATTTTATGGACCAAGGAGTCCATAAGCTTTTTTTTTTATTCTCGACAAAAAGCTGTACATTCCTATCCACAAATCAGACAATATTGTATTAATGTAAGAGTATACTGGGAGAATGCTTTTGCAAATGAAAAATATTTGCTCACAGGGGTTGGTATTACAGTAAGTGTGAAGATACCAGATGGCTATATTTCTTAGTTCTTACAGTTGAGGTTAAGATGTGAGGTCTTTCCAAGATATCACTTGCAGAGTGCAAACTTTGCCGTTATACAGAAACGGATGTAGCACTTTTACATTTAGGATGCTTTCTTGACAGACATTTCTGACAGTAACCTGGGCATGTTACTACTAAGGAATAAGTAATAGGTTTATTCCATGCTGAAAAAAATAAGCAAGAAAACTCAACGTTTTGGCCGTGGAGCCTTCTTCAGGTGTGAGCCTGTTTTACTACTAGTAACCTGTTAGTGGAAGAATTATTTCAGTCTGTCCTGGTAAATATTTCAGATGTGAAGGTGTGCCTGCCTGTTATTCAATAAATATCTGATCAAGAACAGCAGGTAAATGGCCAAGATCCCATTTCATTCTGTCTCTGTGTGCATTTAGAAAATCCTTGGCAAATCTGCTAGAACTTTTAGAAAACAAAATGGGCCTCTGTGGATGTTTTTCTGTGAACTTGCACATAATGATATACATTAGTATTACAGAGACATAATAACTCTAATTAATAACGGCTCAGCATAAAACATACATTTGTTTTAGCTAGTACATAATCATACCAGTATTTTTGCACTGTTTTCAGTTTTAACTTTTGAAATATTTGCCAGTGTTAGATGTCGTATCTAAGTGGTGGTTCTTGCTTTTTCACAGCCCTTGGGCTATTTCCTTTGCTTGTTAGTTTCCATCTACCTCAGGTTATCAGTGTTGATTCGCAAATCATCCTGTAAATTCAGCATAAAATTAAAAAAGGTACTTTCCCCACAATTGCTTGTAGGCATCATTTTCTCTTAGAACCTTATCGTTTAATTAAAAGCTTCAGGAAAAAGAGCTTATATTGAGTTTTTTAAGTTAAAATTGAACTTTGTAGACCCTAAGCGCTGTGTGATGTTTTTTTTCCTTGTTTCTACATGGCCTTGAAACAAGACCACACATAACACTTTAACACACACAGAAGGTGATTTTAAAGAATTAGAATTTTGCATATTTCAACGTTGTGTGTAATAATACCAATGCCCGATATTTTGTAATCAGACAGAAATGAAATGCATGTGCAACTATTATATTGTGCCAGTTTTTCTGCTGAGTACGGTCACAGAAGCCTTTATAATCGTGTTGCTGAAGGCTTACCGAATATTATTGCACATTATTCAGAAAAGCTGTATGCTACTGTAATATACTATCTAATAGGCAATTTTAGGCATGGAAATGGATCCAGCATATGACTCTAATATGAGGAGAGGCAGTGCAGTGGCCATACAGAATGAAAGGCACAGCAGAGTTGGAGCAGATGATGCAGGTGAAGGACTAAAACCGTTGATTAAATTGAAATGCAAAAAAGCAGTTAAAATGTGGAAAAACAAATTTATTAATTAGATTAGTGCTATTTCAAATGCTGCCTTGTCATTTCTGATCACATCGTACCTTGATACTATACATATATATGTATACTTTATGTA